GCCGGGGAGCAGGCCGTGGAAGTTTACGACACCTTCAACGTCGAGGGGGAGCAAACCTACGAGGCCGTAGTAGAAAAGTTTCATAACTACTGTTCTCCCAAAAAGAATGAAACGTACGAGCGTTACGTATTCAGGATGCGAGAGCAGGCAGAAGGTGAGCTGTTTGAGCAATTCTACAGAGACCTTTTGTTGAAAGCTAAGACCTGCGAATTTGGCCGTTAGGCAGACTCGATGATCAGAGATCAGATAGTGTATGGTATATCGAACAAGAAACTACGTCAAAGGCTGTTGCGAGAGCAGGACTTATCGCTTACCAGAGCAGTCGACATGTGTAAAGCGAACGAAATAGCAGAAAAACAAAAAAAGTTTGGGACAAGTCAGAAGGGTCCGTTCTCAGTATTCACCAGACAACTAAAAGACGTTCGACGGTGCCAGTGGAAGCACCACCTAGACGAGACCGCTGTCAGAAGTGTAACTTCATTCACAAAGGAACAGGCTGTCCAGCAACAGGAAAATAATGCAGGAGATGTCATCGCCAAGGTCATTTCGCGTATTGCTGTCCGAAGCAACGAGTGAACGCGATAACTAACGAAAACAACGTTCAAGCCACGGATGCCGGGAATGACTTTGAAATTCTGGAGGTGGGAGCACGCACTTCTGCAAGTAATCAAGCAGAGCGGCTGATATCGTCGAAAGTAGCTGATACGAATATCATGCTGAAGACTGATACTGGAGCCCAAGCGAACTTGTTGCCACTGTCGTGGTGGAGACGAGCAGACAGGAGTGCGGATTTGCGAAGGAGCACGGCAATTTTGCGCAGTTACAGTGGCGGCATAATTGCACACGCAGGAAAGGCATCCTTGACTGTGGAGTGTAACAACTGTTGCGACCGAGGAGTTCCCCAGGCAGCCTCAGGCAGGGCCAGGCGAGGACAGGAACCGCAGGCCGACTCTAGGCAGGGACATCAGGAGACGGGAGGGTGTCTCGCGATAAACTCTGTTTTAATACATATGTACAGAAGTTTCTCGTTCGTCGGAGAGCACACTCGCGGCCTCTCGTTTGCTCTTTTTATACAGTCGCTGTTGATGTTCCAGCGGTTGGCAGCCAATGGTGGCCGAACTGCCAACGGACGTCACGTTCAGGCCCCGCCCCCACTCATTCTCACGAGCGCGCACACACATACACGCACACACTGCAGCGCCGGACGGGCTTCCCAATCCGGCGCCGGGGCATTCTTGACCTCAATAAGCCGCGCCAGGAGTCGGTGACGAAGGGTCCGCTGTCAGCTCGTGAGAGGTTGACCGTGATGAAGATGATCCCCTCATTATGCGGCGTCCTGGCTCGGGAAAGGTTTAGCGGGATAATCCGCAAGTGGCGCCGGACGAAAACTTGAGCCGAACGTACTCGGCCGGAAGTCCCGCCGCCGTCGTCGTCCCCCGGAATCCTCTCCCGGCAGGGCAGCTGGTTCCTGGATCGACTGACCCCGCAGCCAGAGAGAGGAGTCCGGCTCAGCTCCGCTCCCAGGTGTGGCGGCGTCCACGCGGCGCCGGGCGACGTGTTCTGTCAACAACGGCTCAGACGGCCGGGCGCCGATCCTAAATGCGAAGGCCAAACCCTGCCGGGTGGACAAGAAGGGGAGGCGAAGGAAGGACGTGACCTTCGCCAAGGCCTATCGCAACAACACCTCCGCCGCCACTGAGCTCATCAGGAGGGCAGCAGTCCCACACTGCTGCGCTGACTCGATGAGTGCCTCGCTTTCCTGGGAGAGGGTCCGGTGATCCTCTCCTGCCTTGAGAAGTAGGCGAGGGTCGGGTCCAAATCTCTGGAGTGGGGGACCTCAACTCAGGTCACAAGAGGAAGGCGTGGGCGAGACAAACATAGCAAGTCACGATCCCAGTAGCGACAAGTGCTTCGCTCTCCTCCCCCGATCCGCCAGACCAAAAAACAAATAAAGACAACCCCCTCCACCTACTACCTAAAATCTCCCTCGCTCGACACTCGAGCTCAGGCTGTCACCAAGCCCTTTAAAGTAAACCATACCCTAAACCAGGCAAACAGAAACAAAAGTTATGGTAGCGTGCTTTGACATAAAAACACAATCACAAAAAATCAAGATGACCCTTTCCAAGGATTTGAAACAAACAAAAAACTTTACAAATTTGTACAATCCGATCATGGAGCTCGTTCACGTCTTAGAAGCCCCGGCTTAGGCCATCAGCGTTCCCATTTAGCTTCCCCTTTTTGTATCTCACCTCAAATGCGTGCTGCTGCAGAGCGAGACTCCAGCGGAGGAGGCGGCCGTTTTTGTGGGACATATTTTGCAACCAAGAAAGAGGACAGTGGTCTGTCTCCACGATAAATTTAGTCCCGGCCAGGTAACAAGATAACTTCTGTACAGCCCAGACCAGGCAGGCCCACTCCTTCTCCGAGGTGCTGTAAGCCTCCTCGCGAACTGTCAGCTTTCGGCTAATGTAGAGAATGGGTCGCTCGTTTCCCTGCTCGTCTACCTGCGACAAAACTGCCCCAATTCCCCTATCACTCGCGTCACACTGCACGACAAACGTCTGGTCATAATCAGGGGCCTTTAGCACTGGCGTTTGAACTAACACCCTTTTCAAGGTTTGAAAGGCGCTTTCTTTCGCGTCGTCCCAGATCAGGTTTTGCGGCTCGTTTTTACGAAGAGCGTCGGTCAAAGGACTGGCTATGTCTGAAAAGTTATAGATATAGTGCTGGTAATAACCAGCCAGACCCAGAAATGCCCGAATATCCCTCTTTGTCGTCGGTCGTCGGAACTCCACCACGGCCGCAATTTTAACTTCGGAAGGGCGCCGAAGTCCCTGGCCAATAACGTGTCCCAAGTAGTGAACTTCCGCCCTTCCAAGTTAACATTTTTCGGTCTTAACCGTGAGTCCGGCCTCTCGTAACCTCATCAACACCTGTCGTAGGTGGTCGAGATGGTCTCTCCAAGTTCCTGAAAATACCGCAATATCGTCCAAATAAGGGAGGGCGAAGTCGCTCAGTCCAGTCAAAACACGATCCATGAGTCCCGAAAAACAGAAAGGAGCGTTCTTTAAGCCGAAGCTCAGTACGGTGGGGATAAATGTTCCCTGTGGTGAGATAAAGGCTGCATACCGGCGAGCTCTTTCAGAAAGAGGCACTTGCCAATAACCTCTTACCAGGTCGAAAGTAGAAATGAATCTCGCCCCACTCACTGTCTCCACTCTTTCTTCGATATTTGGAATGGGGTACGTCTGGTCTCGCGTAATAGCGTTAAGTTTCCGGTAATCAATACACGGTCGGGGATCTTTACCCGGCACCTCCACGAGAATAAGAGGCGAAGTGTAATCGCTTTCGCCTCTCTCGATGACCCCGATTTCGATCATTCGCTCAATTTCGAGTTTCATGATCTCCCTCTGTCGCGGAGAGACCCGGTAGGGCCTTGCATGAATCGGCTGATCGCATGTCAGCTCGATGTCATGCGTAGTTAGTGTTGTCCTCTCTGGCCTATCGGAGAAAACGTCCAGAAACTCCCGAATCACTCCCTCTAACTCTGAAACCTGCCAAGATTCCAGGTCATTTGTTCCTTTGGTTTTCTTTAGCAGCTGCTCGGCAGTCAGATTGGTGTCAGTACCCAGAGAGGGAATTTCTGGAGGAATCTCCTCGGGTGCGTTCAGTGTTAGATTCACAATAACCCCCCGTTCCCTGTACGGTTTCATGAGGTTGCAGTGATACACCTTCACAGCCCGTCTCTTACCCTCTAACTTCACCGCATAGTTGAGGTCCGATAGTTTCTGCACGACGACTGCCGGGCCCTCCCACTGAACGTCGAGTTTGTTTTTCTTTGAAGTTATCAATAACATAACTCGGTCGTTCACCTGAAATGATCTCGGCTTGGCGGACTTATCGTAAAATGTTTTTGAGTTCTCCTGCGCCCTCTTCATGGCCTTACCGACAACGACCTGTACCTCACTTAGTCGCTGCAAGAGATCCAAAACGTACTGTACGACGGTTGGGTCCTCGCTCTGGTCTTCTAGTGACTCGCGTAGTAGTCGCAGAGGTGACCACAGCGTTCGTCCGTACACGAGCTCCGCAGGACTGAAGCCCGTGGATTCGTGAGGTGCCGAACGGAGCGCGAACATAGTGGCCGGAATACATGCTTCCCAGTCTGTTTGGTGCTCAAAACCCAAAGCTCTCAACACCCTCTTCAGCGCCCCGTGCATCCTTTCCACGCTGTTAGATTGCGGGTGGCAAATAGAGCTGTGAATCAATTTGATTCCGCATTTCTCCAGAAACGTCGTAGTTAGGGCGCTTGTGAAGACACTTCCATTATCGCACTGAATCTCGAGGGGAAATCCGACGCGGGAAAAAATGGAAAGGAGTGCATCTACTACGTTCGTGGAGTTCACCTCCTTGAGAGGGATAGCCTCGGGGAACTTCGTAGCAGGGCACACTGCTGTCAAGATGTAGCGATATCCCGACTGCGTGACGGGAAGCGGGCCGACGATGTCAATTACCAGCCTTCGAAACGGCTCTGTGATGATGGGAACCAAACGCATCGGAGCCTTGTGCTTGTCGGATGACTTCCCTACGCGCTGACAGACATCGCAAGATCGCACGAACTCTTCAACATCCTTCCAGCATCCGGGCCAGTAGTATTCTTGCATCAGCCTTGCTTTGGTCTTCCGGATTCCCAAATGGCCCGACCAGCAGTTCCCGTGAGCCAGCCGGAGAAGATCCTCTCTAAATCTAAGCGGAATGACCAGCTGGTCAAAGTCTCGGCCCTTCCTGTCTCGGTACTTTCGGCATAGCAGCCCTGACTTGGTGTAGAACGAAATATTCTGATGTGCTACTTCCTCCTGGTTACCGTCTGGCAATGCCTTGAGAGTGGCATCACTCTTTTGCTCTGCGATCAGTGTAGGTCGATCAAGAACACGAAGCGTGTCCAGACTCGGAGATAATGGCGAAATAAAACCCTGCCCTTCCTCATCGTCCTCTGGAATCTACTGCTGATCTGGTGGGGAACTCCTCGCGGCATCCTCCGATCGCAAGTTCTCTTGATTTGCCGCGCCTGCAGGTTTTCCGTCGACCAGCTCCTCGCGCGCCGCGGACCGACCCTCCTCCTCGTTAGGTTCGTATCTTAACCTTGATGAGAGCTTTCTTGCTTGGGATCGCGTTAGTGCCATTACTGTCTCCTCCGCGAAAGTCTTTCCTTGCTCGCGAAGCAGCAGCTCCGACTTGTTCGAGAACAAGTACGGGTAGTGTTGAGGCAAGTTCTTCGAGACTGCCGCCTCAGTGATGAGCTCGCCAAAAGGCCCCTTGATACAGATTTTCGCAATCGGAAGGCATACGCTGTGTTCCTCTACTACTTGCTTTATCCAGGCGCACTCGCCGGTGTAGTCACCCGACTCGACGTAAGAAGGGTGCACTACATCCATTGTTGCTGCCGAGTCGCGAAGCACCGTGCAAGCTTGGCCGTTCACTAGCATTTCTTTCGTGTACGGAGCCAGTAGGGCGCTGTTGTCGGCGCCCTCTGCAACATACGAGAACACAACCTTCTCGGGGCAGTTGGCCACGATGTGCCCTTGTTTTTGACACCGGAAACACCGAACTGGCCTCTTCGCTTCGAAGGCTCGCGCGTTATTTCCAGGCATTTCTCTCTTTTCTTTATCGACGGCTCCCCCCTCCTTCTGCGACTCTCTATCATCTGGGACATCCCTCATGTTTCCCCTCCTAAGAAATCCTTTTCCAGAGTCTTCCTTTAACGACCGAAACTCTTTCTGGCCATCTCGCCATGAGCGCGTTTGTCCCGATTTGTCTTTGTCTAGACCCCTGCGCATGGAGTATTCCTCCGCGAGATCTGCCACCTTCCGGAGGTTCATTTCTGGGTCCCTGTCTTGGACCCAGAACCTGACGGTCTCCGGAATGCCTCGTAAAAACTGCTCTACCGCAAGGCACTCGATCACCTTATCATGATCCCCGTACACGTCTGAGCTCTTTAACCATTCTACCAGGTTAGCCTTCAGGGTGTACACAAAATCGGGAAAGGACTCCGTTCCCTTCTTAGTCGCCGTGCGGGAGCGCTGGCGGAACGCCTCTGTCGAAAGACGGTACTTCTTAAGAAGTGCGGCCTTCGAGCTTTCGTAGCTCTCGGCCTCCTCTCCACTTAACCTCGCAACCGCGTCGGCCGCCTCACAGGGCAACAGCGTCAACAAATACTGAGGCCAGTCTTCGCGCGCGAAACCTGCTCGCTCGCAGCTTCTCTCGAAGTTGACCAGGAAAAGACCAATGTCTTCTCCAAGTTTGTAGGGCTGCATTAGGTCCTTAATCTTGACTCTCTCCGCCAGCCGCACACCCGATCCAGGACGACCTGAACGCTCAGCCTCAATTTTCGATACCTCTAACCTTTTGAGTTCTAATTCATGAGCCCGCTTCTCGCGTTCCTCCTTCGCTTTTTCGTCCCGCTCCTGCTTTTCAGCCTTCGCTCTTTCGTCCCGCTCCCGTTCAGCCTTCGCTTTTTCGTTCCGCTCCCGAATCAGCTCCCAAGCCTCCTGAAGCTCTACGTCGGACACTTCCTTTTCGCGAAGTAGCTCCATGATCGGCTTCCTTCGCTTTGCCTGCCCCACGCTTATACCAAGCTCCTCGCATACCGCCACCAACTCCGGAATGCGTAGCTTACTGACTTCCATGATCCCGAGTGTCGCAATCTCCCTCCCCTATCTAACTCAGTCAGCTTGAACTTCGCGTTTTCTGAGCCGAAAGGGCAGCCTTCTACTCGCGTACCTAACACTGAGCAAAAGGTCTGGCAAATCAAGGGAAAATTGCAAAGCACTCACCCGTACCAGGAACCATGAGCAGGCACGTCATCCCGCCGCTGCCAACCAGTTGTTGCGACCGAGGAGTTCCCCAGGCAGCCTCAGGCAGGGCCAGGCGAGGACAGGAACCGCAGGCCGACTCTAGGCAGGGACATCAGGAGACGGGAGGGTGTCTCGCGATAAACTCTGTTTTAATACATATGTACAGAAGTTTCTCGTTCGTCGGAGAGCACACTCGCGGCCTCTCGTTTGCTCTTTTTATACAGTCGCTGTTGATGTTCCAGCGGTTGGCAGCCAATGGTGGCCGAACTGCCAACGGACGTCACGTTCAGGCCCCGCCCCCACTCATCCTCACGAGCGCGCACACACATACACGCACACACTGCAGCGCCGGACGGGCTTCCCAATCCGGCGCCGGGGCATTCTTGACCTCAGTAAGCCGCGCCAGGAGTCGGTGACGAAGGGTCCGCTGTCAGCTCGTGAGACGTTGACCGTGATGGAGATGATCCCCTCATTATGCGGCGTCCTGGCTCGGGAAAGGTTTAGCGGGATAATCCGCAAGTGGCGCCGGACGAAAACTTGAGCCGAACGTACTCGGCCGGAAGTCCCGCCGCCGTCGTCGTCCCCCGGGATCCTCTCCCGGCAGGGCAGCTGGTTCCTGGATCGACTGACCCCGCAGCCAGAGAGAGGAGTCCGGCTCAGCTCCGCTCCCAGGTGTGGCGGCGTCCACGCGGCGCCGGGCGACGTGTTCTGTCAACAACGGCTCAGACGGCCGGGCGCCGATCCTAAATGCGAAGGCCAAACCCTGCCGGGTGGACAAGAAGGGGAGGCGAAGGAAGGACGTGACCTTCGCCAAGGCCTATCGCAACACAACACAAAAAAAAAACTCATCGAGTTCTTTATTGTAAAAAAGTCGCGGGCTCCCATTCTCGGTCTCCAGGCCAGTGAACGCCTTGGACTCGTGAATCGTGTTTCGGCAGTTTCCTGCGATAACTTGAGCGCAGTGACCTCCGAATTCCCCGAGGTGTTCCAGGGGTTAGGTTGTGTGAAACGGGCATACCACATGGTGTTAAAGGAAGGAGCCAGGCCAACGGTGCAAGCAGCCCGGCGAGTCCCACAAGCTTTGCGGCAGCCACTGGAGAGGGAGCTGCAGCACTTAACCGCCACCAATGTTATCCGGAAAGTGGATGAGCCAACTGACTGTTTGAGTTTTGGTTATTGCGCTAAAAAAAGACGGACAGCTCAGGGTATGTCTGGATCCCCGGAACATAAACGAGTGGGTGAAGCGAGAGCATTACCAACTTCCCAAAAGGGAAGACATGGAGGCAGAGCTCTCTGATGCGCGATGGTTTTCAACCCCTGATGCAAATTCCGGGTTCCACCAAATACCGTTAGATGATGAGACCACGAGAATCTGCACATTTGCTACTCCATTTGGAAGATACCAGTACCTCCGGCTACCGTTTGGAATAGCTTCAGCACCGGAAGTATTTCAGAAGACCATGTCTCAAATGCTTGAGGGTTTTTTCGGAGTTCGAGTATACATCTATGACATTCTACTGTGGGGTAGAACACAGGCCGAGCACAATGACAGATTACGCGCTGTACTGCAGAGAGCCTGTCAAGAGGGTCTCACGTTCAACATGAGCGAGTGCAAACTGGCCCGCAAGAAAATTGAGTTCTTGGGGGACGTTACTAATGAAAATGGTATCTCCCCAAGCCCAACTCTCGTTAAGAGCATTCACAATTTTCCACAACCAGTAAGTAAGAAAGAAGTGCAAAGATTATTGGGATTTACAAACCACCTTGGTAAATTTTTGCCTAACTTGTCCTTGAGGACAACGTTAATGCGCGGAGTTATTAAAGACAGCTCAGTGTTCGAGTGGTCTGACGCACACCAAATGGAATGGGAACATTTGAAAAATATGATATCTACAACCCCAGTGCTCGCACTCTTTGATCCGGCGAAACCCACGAAAGTATCTTCTGATGCTTCAAAATATGGGATAGGCGCGGCGCTCTTACAACAACATATTGAGGGATGGAAACCAGTGGCCTACGCTTCAAGAGTCTTGTCTAGTGCGGAAACACGCTATTCGCAAATTAAAAAAGAGGCTCGTTTAGTCACTTATGGTCTTGAAAAATTCCACCACTTTGTGTATGGACGGCGAGTTATAGCGGATAAACCTCTGATTGCGATTGCACAAAAAAGTGTAGGAGATATGCCACCGCGCTTGCAGCGTTTCTTCTTGAGGCTCATGAAGTGTGAGTTCCAGCTGACGTACGTCCCTGGCAAAGAGTTGGTGGTTCCCGACGTCCTTTCGAGAGCACTTCCCTCTGGGCAGCCAAGCGGCACAGAATTAACCGAGGTTGAGGTGCATGCATTGGAGCTTCAGCACAGCCTAGTAAGCGAAGCAACTAAGATTCAGCTCGTGCGTGAAACTGCTCGGGACACTGTCCTCACGGACTTAATTAACTGCCTGCGAGCAAACCTCCCTATTCGTAGACAGAACAAAACCTTTCACCGGTTAATTAACAGAAGTGTCTGGAGTTTTGTTTAAGGGCGAAAAGGTGGTCATTTTAGAGATCATGAGCCAGCGAATACTTGAGAGGATACACGATGGCCACCTTGGTATCAATAAGTGTAAAGCACGAGCAAGACAGCTAGTTTTCTGGCCCGGCATTAACGAAGATATCACGAGAATGATTCACCGGTGCTCAATCTGTCAACAGTTTGCGTACAAGCAACCGAACGAGCCACTAATGACGCGTGAGGTTCCAGGCTTACCATGGACGCGTGTTGGTGTAGACCTCTTTGAGCAGGCGGGGAACACGTACCTAGTTGCCTATGATGCCTTTTCCAACTTCTCAGACGTAGTGAGGCTCAGAGAGGCAACATCAGAAACTGTTATTTTGAGATTAATCAGTATGTTTGCTAGACACGGAATACCTCTAGAGGTGTGCAGCGACAACGGTCCACAGTTCTCTTCCCGTCAGTTCCAGTTTCGCTTTGAAGTTTGATTTTAAGCACACCACGTCCAGTCCGCATTTTCCACGTTCCAACGGACTTGCAGAAAAGGGTGTGCAAGTGGTAAAACGAATACTGCAGAAAACTGCTGAAGCTAATGAAGACTTCTGGCTGGGATTGCTATGTTACAGGTCTACACCCATAAAGGATGGCCGGTGCCCCAGCGAGCTTCTAATGGGACGCCGCATTAGGTCCCGTCTTCCTGACTTCACACCAGCAGTTCCAAAACCAGCCAGAAAACACACACAGGATAACACCAAAGGATGTCTTTTGAGGCCACTACGGAAAGGTGACGTGGTACGTCTGAGGGACAAAGGACAGTGGGTCACAAAGGGCCAAGTGCTAAGGAACGTGGCGCCTCGTTCTTCACTGGTTGTCACGCAGGATGGCCGGGAATATCGACGCAACAGAGAACACCTGCGACCGACGAATGAAGACCTGATGAGTTCCGATTACTTTGAGGAGCACCTGGAGAATTCCCCAGCCTGTGCCCTGACCAGCATTCAAGCTGCACCGGCTGCATTGACCCCAACAGTGCAGCATGAAACCATAGTCGCTACTTCAACGAGAACTCCGACCAGCTCCCCAGCTGCAGGCAACTCCGCAGCGAGAACAGAGGATGATCGGGCTAGTGAACTTGGACCATGTGTTGCTCGGACATCAACCCGAACTGTACGGCGACCCCAAAGGCTAAACCACAATCACAACTTCCAGCAGCAAGCTTAACGGGCTTTTGAGTAATTGCTTTTTATATTTCGTGTTTTGTGTATTTTGTTTATTTTCGTATGTATTTCTTGTTGGTCCAAAGAAAGGGAGATGTAACAGTCATAATACTAGCGCCACCGCCACACTGAGTGGTAGACGACAATAAAGACGAAGTGACTTGCTTCCTACCCGCTGAACCGGATGCCTCGCTGACTGATCCACAGATCGTGGAAAGAGTAAAGCATGGTTGGGGCCCAGAACGCAAGCCAATCGACCCAGAGTAGGCACCCTTTCACGTACACCGCAATGAGCTGTCACTCCACCAAGGATGCGTCATGTGGGGTTTATAGGTAGTGATTCCGAAGACTCTGCAGAAAAGGGTCCTAAAAGAACTCCATCGGGACCATTATGGCATTGTGCGCACTAAGGAAATGGCTAGGAGCTATGTTTGGTGGGCATCGATCGATAAAGTCATTGAAAGGGAAATCGGAGCATGTACCATGTGTCAGCTGCACCGAAACAACCCGTTCACTGCTGCTCTACACCCTTGGGCATGGCCGCCACATCCGTGGAAGAGACTGCATGTGGATCTGGCGGGACCTTTCATGGGAAAAAATGTTTCTCGTCCTAGTGGATGCTCACTCCAAATGGCCAGGGGTGTTTGTCTTAGTGTCTACGACGTCAAAGGTCATCATCCAGTGCGTACAAGAGTGGTTCGCACGGTTTGGCTTGCCCACAACCATGGTTTTTGACAATGGGCCTCAGTTCGTGTCTGAGGAATTTCGAACTTTCTTAAAGAAATATGGTATTTCCCAGGTCACGGCTGCATCGTACCATCCCGCTACAAATGGATTTGCCCCCCTGAGTGGTTTATTCAGACCATAAAAACTATCTGCGGAAAACAACTTCGAGCCAACTCCTCCGTACAAGGTTGTCACGTTTTCTTCTGTCTTACAGAAACACCCGGCACCCGACAACAACGGAGTCTCCGAACCAGTTGATGCTACAGCGGAATCTTCGCACCAGATTGGACCTCCTGAAACCATCCATTGCAGACTGTGTGGTCAACGCACACTATACCGCCAACAGCCGCAACACCCAGGGAAAGAGCGGGCTTTCACTACAGGATACCAAGTCTATG